ACATTGCTGATGCCCAAGTTGTAATTTGACTACCTTTCACCAAGAATAAATTGATGCAGCTATAAATACAAGCTATCAAAATTCTATCTTTCAAAAAGCAGTTGTCATAATTTAACAGTATGTCTGGTATACTTGTAGAGGTTTATCTTGAGGGTTCTTCATTTTATCTATTTACTAGAAGTGCTATATATTTATTTATTGAGTTAAAAAAGTTATATGATTTTTTTCATGATGTGCTTTATATTGTAGGTTCTATTTTCGCTCTGCATTGTGTTCTGGGGAGTGCAAATTATGAAGCAGCTGACCTCAAGCACAGCTAAGCGGCTTTAAAAGAGCAAATACAACAGCACTCTAATAATGGAAAGAGCACTTGGAATATGCTTTGAAGTTCCTTGGAAGAAGTTAACTATGCCTCTTACAGTAAAACAATGATTTTTCATAAGCTAGGTAGGATTCATGATTTTTAAATGAAGTTTTAAAAGATGCATAAAAGGACCATATGTTTTCTTTGATTTTTAATATATAATTTCCCCCAAATTTAAATGAAAGTTTCTTTTATTTTATTTTCATGCTTTCACAGCATATTTTTTTCACATTCAAGGGATCACAACACTCTTTTAAAAAGCCTGTAAAATAATAGCCTTTTATAATCACTTTATTAGTATGTAACCATATGTAAAAAGTATTCTTCAATAGAAGTAATTAAAATCATATATGTTACCACCTGGTATAAAGCATCTGCCTGTCTCACCATAGAGGCCAAATTTGAAATTATGTGAATGTAAATTTTTCCATAATGCTTAAATTATAGTAGAATCTCAATGGCATGCCCAATTGTATGTTCATAAGATATAGCTACATAAGGATGAATAGTTGAGACAGGAAATAATTAAAAACAGCATGATAAAATAACTCAAACTAGTATGAGTTGAAATTTCTTCAATAAAACTGGCTGATATATGTGATGTATAACTTGGGTTTGCAACTTGAATTAAACTGCTTAGGAAATATACCTGTGTGCGCCAATGATTTTAAGGACTGATTGTGCTGACACTTAGTATAGTCCCATTGACTAAAATTGTTCATGTGACAAAGTGCTTCCAGGATCAGGCCCTTCATTTCTAGTAGTCTCTTGACAAAGTGATCCCAGGAGAGATGCATCTACTGGGAGGTGATGTGGAGTGAGTGTCAGTTGATATAGGAAAATTGAATAAAAATGGAGAAAGGGAGTCTCCAAACAGCAGGACTGGCAAAAATACTGGAGTTAGGTTGTTTTTCTTTCCTCACAGTCTTCCAACTTTTCTTTGGTTCCAAGATTTGAAAAATGCTTAAAAATCAGGTAGCTAAAAACTTTAAACTGCTTTGCATCCTTCAAGCTAGTAATATAATCTGGATAAAAACATCATGATATTGTAAACACTTTTCTCTATAGTTTATAGTTTATTTTCTCTATGATTTATTAACAGAAATCACTGATGTGGATTCTTACCCTGCCTTTAGCTACCCTTAATTTTCATATTTGGAACCAAAACTTGAACACAGTATGGCGATGCCTAACACCAGTGCCCTCAAACACCATGCTTAGGAAGATAAATAAAATTAATTCAATTTTCAATTGTGCTGATTATATGGTACTGCTCTATACTGACTGGCTCTTGTACCAGAGACAGCCTAACTGCATTTGAACAATTAATTAAAAAGAGGCTGGGCTAATTGGCCCTGTCACTCAATGCCCAGCTCATTGCACAGGAAACTTCTATTTCAGGAGGCAGCCCACACAGAATAGTGCAGCATGTTTAAGAGCACTGCTGCCAGGCATATTTGCAACCTAGACATGGCCTAGCTGTAACCAGTGTCAAAATATACAAACTTGGATGTTTCAGGTTAACCACTGAAATCCATGCTTAGGCACTTAAATAGAACTGGCTTGATTTTTCATTTGTGCTGAATAGCGGATCAGTTGTATATAAAAGACAACCTTGAAGCCCTGGAGTTTGAAAACATTGACCCTACTGCTTGCACTTATCTCTTAGGGCTGTGCTCTAAACATAAGATACTTTTTGGTGGGAAAACAGATGTTAGTGTGACTATTGATAGTCCTGAGATGAAAATCTAGATCAGATCTTGCTTAAAGTGTGCAGAGGTTAGATCCATGGATTTGATTCAGGCTCTTCTGCAATTTGTATAATTAAAAAGGATACTTCTATCTCCTGGAAATGTTAGAAGCATTTGGATTAAAAATATTTATGTGTAAATCTCTTGTCATAGGTATCATCATAGGTATGGTTAAAATTGTAATGCCTTACTGGAATCGTATTTTCCTATCCCACTGTGTAAAAACCTGATTGAGTGGTTAAAATATGCTGGTATTATAAGGGTAAAGTTGCACACTACGCTTAGACCACGTTAAATTTGTGGAATGTTAAACAGTGTTAAAGCTAGAATGTGCTATGAGCCATTCCATGTTAAGGGTTAACACAGTTGCTTGTCTGCACAGCTCTGAATGAGGGAGATTACAAAACACTCAGGGGCATGGCTATGGGCCAAGACACCTGTACTCTATCCCTGCTTGGGATGGGGGCAACTAGGACAGGGAGCAGTGCATCGCCAGATGCTGGAGGACTACAGATTGCTCTTTTAGATCTCCATGGAACAGACTGAAGTTACCCTAACATGAGCATGGCCCAGAGTTAAACCTTACCTGAAATGGCAGAATTTTGAATGGGATTGTTTATTGCAATAAACTTAGCTCTTAACTTGAAAGTGTTTAAAACTTGAAAGATTTTACATTCAGTTTTAAATGAGCACATTCAGGCTCGTTAACTAGTGCTAAGTGTCCATTAGGCATCTTAAAGTTATACCACTTCAGAGGAAGATTATCATTGATCAGTGTAAACTAGCTAGTGTTAAGGGAACTTCTGAGGATTTCACTGACAGAAAAAGACCAATTTGGAGTCCTCCAGCATCCCAGGATGCACAATTCCCATCCTCTCCCACTTTCCTACTCCAAGGACAAACTTTCCACTCTCCTGAACTCTGTGGCAATGGGCAAGCCCCAGGAATGAACTGAAGAGGGCTGGGGAACTCTTCAGTGACCCACACACCTGCACACACACCCCTCATCCACTGAAAAACTTCAGCCACCCAGCTACTGTGAGAAAGGACACTATGCCTTCAAACTTGATGCAGCTGCTGTGATGATCACAGGAGGGGAGGTTCTACAGGCTGCAGCCAAAGCTTGAGCCCCATTCCCTGGGAACGGAGGGGATATCAGCCAGCAAGCAGTGTAGGTTCTCAGATCCCCAGCCACAGCTCCCCTCTCCACAGCCTCCCCCTCTCCTTACAGCCTGCTGGCAGGAGCTTCCCCTACTTCCCAGTGGGGGCAGGAAGCCTGGCAGCTGGCTGGCTGGCCAGCATGCAGCAGCATACTGAGCATGGCTCAGGGTGCCAGAACTACCCTCTCCACTCCCCCCCTGGAGGGAACTCTGGATGGGCTCCTCAACCCCTCCTTGCAGCCCCCCAACCAGAGCTGCATGAAGCCCCCTGACTGACAGGCCCCCTTGGAACCTACTTTAGCCTCCCCCAGCCTCAAGCCAAAGGGGCTGGCTGCACTGGGGGCTTAGGTAGGGGACATCCAGGGCCCAGCCTTCTCCCATCACCCACAATTAATTGAAACAAGTGAGGGCCTAGAGCAGCGGTTCCCAGCCTTGGGGTCACAACCCCATTTGGGTTGCAACAATAAAAAATGGGGTCACAAAGACACTAGACAATGTAGACTAATTATGATGTATGCATTTCCTATTTATAAATAAACAACAGTTAAAATTGTTTTAAATGTTTTCAATGAAAAATATAAAGACCATAAACATTGTAATGCCATGTTTATGACTTGTTGATCATGTCTGCATCATTTTGGGGTCTCGAAAACTTCCAATGTTTAAGTGGAGTCATACTGAGGAAAAGGTTGGGAAACCCTTTTTTCTCTCTCTCTTATTTAACTTCAATCAAATAAAAATGTTTTTAAATAACTAACCTTTACAAAAAAACCCTCATGACCCATGCCCATGTTTTTTTACCTCTTGGCATGTTGCTCCCCCTGCCACCAGAGCAGGTGTTCAGATTCAGACATTCCCCGCCCCCCGGACACACGGGGACACACACACACACACACACACACACACACACACTCACCAGCCCTCTAATGGCAAGTCTGAAGAGTGCACGTTAGAGAGGGTATTAACATCTAACGTGCCCCTGATCATTAGCGTGTGATAACCTTAATACCAACTAATATTCCTTGCAATTAGCACTTGCAAACTAGAACATGTAGTTCCACTCTTTGAGAGGCTCAGGGAGCACTTAGTATGAGTTAACAAGCTTGAATGAGTAGGCACTCATGTTTTAAGGACCCTTGGTGTGGTTGAAGTGTAACGTGTAACTTCACCCTTAGAATTCATAGATTGTAAGGGGCTGGAAGGAACCATGGAAGATCATCGGGTCCAGCCCCTCTGCACTAGGCAGGAAAGACAGCAGGGGTCAGGTGATCCCAACGAGGTGACCATCTAGTCTCCTCTTGAAGATTTTCAGGGTGAGTGATTGTACCACCTCTGGAGGGACTTTATTCCACAGTCTGGACACCCTAACTGTGAAGAAGTTTTTCCTAGTGTTAAGCCTGAAACAGTCTTCCAGGAGTTTGTGGCCATGACTCCTGGTTTTCCCCAAAGGTGCCCTAGTAAACAGTTGTTCACCAAGCCCTTGATGTATTCCCCTGATGTAGTGGTAAGCTGCTACCAAATCTCCTCTCAGCCTTCTCTTTTTATAGGCTGAAGGAGCCCAAGTCCCTCAGCCTTTCCTCATATGGTTTACCTTTTAAGACTCTGATCATATGGGTGGCTCTTCTCTAGACTGTGTCAAGCTTTTCCATGTCTTTGTTGAAGTGTGGTGCCCAGAACTGGATGCAGTGCTCCAGCTGTGGTCTCACCAACACTGAGTAAAGTGGAAGAATCACTTCCTTGGTTTTGCTTGACATGCATCGGTTGATGCATGCCAGATTATTGTTTGCCCTGCTGGCTACAGCATCACACTGACAGCTCATGTTCATACTATGGTCTATTATTACCCCAGGTCCCTTTCAGTCATGGTAGTAGTCAGTTTGGTGCCATCAAGCCTGTAAGTATGTTGGGGGTTGTTTGTCCCCAGATGGATCACTTTACACTTCTCAATGTTGAACTTCCTCTGGTTCTGATCCACCCAATTTGCCAGCCTGTCATGTCTGCCTGTATCTGCAGCCTATCATCAAGTCTGACCATGCTTTCCCATAACTTGGTATTGTCCATGAACTTGGCCAGTGAGCTCTTCACCCCCACATCCAAATCATTGATAAAGATGTTGAAAAGCACTGGACCAAGCATGGACCCCTGAGGGACATCACTGGCCACGTCTCACCAGGATGACACAGATCCATTCATTAGAACTTTCTGGGTCCTACCTCACAGCCAACTTCCTACCCACCTAACTGTTGAGCAGTTAAGCCCGCAATCCTCCAATTTTCCCATGAGAACATCATGGGATACCAGATCAAAGGCCTTTTGGAAGTCTAGGTATACAGTGTTGACCTACTCTCTCTTATCCAGGTGGTGAGTTATGTTGTCATAGAAGGAGATGAGATTGGTAAGACAAGACATGCCCATGACAAAGCCATACTGGCTGTCATTCAAAACCTTACCTTTGGCAAGCATATTGCACATAGACTCTTTGATGATTTTTTCTGGGATTTTCCCTGGGATAGAAGTTAGGCTACTTCAGCACTCTCAGATGAAGTTCATCCAGTCCTGCTGACTTATAAATGTCTAATTTTTCTAACTGATCACGCACCAGCTCAATGTCAATAGTAGGAAGGTGGTCATTCCCACCAGGCCCATTCTGAATCTTATCTAGTATGATTTTCCCTTTAGTCCAGTGAAATACTGAAGCAAAGTGGTCATTCAGGAGTTCAGTTTTCTCCTGAGTA